CTGAGCAGCTAGACTTTTACCAGAAACCATGAGGAAAGTCATGGTAACTAGCTTTTTGACTTCTGACATGAGTGTTAAACCTCTTTGTTGCTTACTCTTTTCTGGCTTCCTGGGAACCGCAAACCGGCTCCCAGTCTAGCTTTGTTTTCTGGTTGCCTCAGGCGGATTCCTTCTCCACATTTTGAGATGCCTGCAGGCGTGACTGAAGACTTAGATATCATTGGGGTGAAGTTAAATGTGTTAGGTGGGATGGAAGTTAGGGAGTATATCTTTACTGTGGGGTTATGTATGGATTCCAGAGTCTTCAGTAACTCCTGAAATCTTGAAGTGGTGTGCATAGGGTTTGCATTTTTCTGTTGGAGGTTTCTTGCCTTTTATCACATTCCTATTAGGAACTGTCTCAAAAAAAAAAAAAAAAAGAATCAGTTATTCAGACTGTTAGGACACAGAAAATCCCTCTAATTAATAAGGTGTTTCCTTATAGGTAGATAGGGTTGACTCCTGTCTGGGGACACAGGACCCTCTAAGATGGACTGATCCTACTCTTAGTTTCCCATTTGTGAGAAACTAAGGTCCAGAGTTGAAGGCTTGACTGTCCAAGACCACACATGGAGCCGGAAGCTTGGCCTGGGGGAGGGGTGGAGGTGAAGTTTCTAATCTGAAGATCCTGGTTTAATCCTACTTCTTTGCTGGAGATGAAAGTCCAGGCTTGACTCAGGACAGAGGTTCTAGGGGAATTGGGGCCCCAAACTTGAAAGATTCCAAAACCTGTTCCCCACCTTGTCCTCTTTCCCTTCTTCAACTGGCTTGCCCCACCCTAGTTAAAAGGCACTCCTCCCCCTAGGGAGGGGCGAGGGAGGACATAAATATGTTTGAAGATGGAACCCTGCCTTCTGGGTATGGGGGCTGAAAGAAGGAGCAGGTTTGCAGAGGATTATGGAAATCCCATTCCCGGAGCAGTTTTCAGCCTCCCTCTCTGAGACCTAGTTCCTATTCACACTGTGCACAGTGCTCTCCTTGGAGGCCTCATTCTGAGACAGTTTCATCTGGTGTGCTTGCTCTTTCCTCCCTGGGACTCCAACCCTTTGTCTCTT